CCCTCACCACACATGTCACTACCCTCACCACACCTCTCACTATCCTCAACACACCTCTCACTACCCTCACCACACCTCTTACTACCCTCACCACACCTCTCACTACCCTCACCACACCTCTTACTACCCTCACCACACCTCTCACTATCCTCACCACACCTCTCAGCGGGAGGTGGGTACTGTTGAAGAACAGCAGGAGGTGGGTACTGTTGAAGAACTGCAGAAGGTGGGTACTGTTGAAGAACAGCAGAAGGTGGGTACTGTTTAAGAACAGCGGGAGGTGGGTACTGTTGAAGAATAGGGGGAGCTGTGTACATTTGAAAAACAGTGGGAGGTGGGTACTGTTGAAGAACAGCGGGAGGTGAGTACTGTTGAAGAACAACAGGAGGTGGGTACTGTTGAAGAACAGCAGGAGGTGGGTACTGTTAAAGAACAGCAGAAGGTGGATACTGTTGAAGAACAGCGGGAGGTGGGTACTGTTGAAGAACAGCGGGAAGCGGGAACTGTTGAAGAACATCGGGAGGTGGGTATTGTTGAAGAACAGCAGAAGGTAGGTACTGTTGAAGAACAGCGGGAAGGGGTACTGTTGAAGAACAGCGGGAGGTGGGTTCAGTTGTACAGCAGAAGGTGGGTACAGTTCTTCAACTGTACCCCACCTCTTGCTGTTCTTTAATGTTGGTGTGTTAGTGTCGTGGCTGTGATGGAATTTACCTCAGCGCAACTAACATTAATAGCTATGATGAGACAGGAACCCGGCGGCTTGTCGAAGGCTTGTCACCAGTCTCCGTGGTGTAGTGGTAAGACACTCGCCTGGCGTTCCGCGAGCGCTATGTCATGGGTTCGTATCCTGGCCGGGGAGGATTTACTGGGCGCAAATCCTTAACTGTAGCCTCTGTTTAACGCAACAGTAAAATGTGTACTTGGATGAAAAACGATTCTTCGCGGCAGGGGATCGTATTCCAGGGACCTGCCCGAAACAAGAATGTAACAACTCTTGTATATATCTCAAAAAAAAAAAAAAAAAAAAAGTCTCCTCATTTCCCTAGTTAATCTTTTCTCTTAAAATTTAAGCGAGTTTTTATTTTTACGGCTTCGGCGGGTAGGTAGTTCCATGGGTTAATAACCCTGTGGGTGAAAAAGCATCTCCTGTTTTCTGTCCTACATTGTGGCATGTTGAGCATGAAACTGTTACTCCTTGTTTGTGTTACATCTGACCTTTTGAAGAAATTGTCAGGATCAACACCCTCCAAATCGTTCAGTATTTTAAACGTTTCAATGAGATCCGCCCTGTCATGCCTAGTTTGCAGTGTTGTTAGCACTGTGGCCCTCAACCGTTACTGATACGTGAGATGACTTAGCTCTGGAATGATTTTTGTTGCCCGGTGATGCACTTTATCCGGAACAGCGATGTCCTTCTGAAGATGAAGTCTCCATGCCTGGATACAGTAATCCACATGGGGACTCACCAGAGATTTATACAATTGAATGACTACTTTCTTTTCCTTAAAGGTAAAGGATTATTTCACTTGTTTGGTTAGCATTTTTTATTACAGCCCCCCACTTGTTGTGCAACTTTCAGTGAATGATGGATTCTGACTGTGAGGACAATTTCTTCATAAATCTGTAGTAAGGTAGTGCTGTTAATTTAATACTTTTGGCGTGGATTGTTAGGCCCCACATGCAAGGTCTTGCATTGACCGACATTAAAAAGCATTTGCCAGTCATCTGACCATTTGTGGAGTTCATGTAGATCTCTTTGTAAGGTCTCAGTATCATTTTCACTTCTCACTTTACCATAAACGTTTGTATCATCTGCAGATTTGATGATGTGGTTTCTAATATTCTCATCTCTGCCATTGATGTATATAACAAAAAGGGTTGGTCCCAAAGTGGAGCCCTTAGGTTGCCCACTCACCACATTTCTCCAGCCAGATTCATTCATATTTAACCGGACCCTTTGCTTTCTTTGTTATAACCATTGTTTTATCCATTTTAGTATAGCACCGTTTATTGCATGTGCCTGAAATTTCCTTGCCAGTCTCCTTTGGTTCATTATCAAAGGCTTTAGGAAAATCCATGTAAACTAAATCCACCTGCTGACCCCTTATAATTGTTGATCAGGCTATCCAGTTGTGACGTCATAAGTCATCATTTGGGCTTTTCAGTGGGCCCATTGCAGATGCCAGTTGTAACGTTGAGTTTTCGGAGAGAAATTTAAGTTCGTGGTATACTTGGTGGTGAGTGCCGGAGATGTTCCACAGTAGCTACATCCTGGAGACTGAATATAGTCGTCAGTAAAGCATGACTCAGCCTTAAAGCTTTCCACATAGTTCTCAGGACTCGACCATCTGCAAGTTTTCTATTTTTGCAGTTTTTTTCTGTTTCTCTAATGTTATTAACTGGAATGTTGAGGCTTGAGTGAAATCAGTTACGAGGAAAGACTAAAGAAATTAATCCTCAAGTTACTGAAGGAAAATTTGTATGGTACCTGTGTAAAAAAGACTCCAGTTCCAGAATTTTGTAAGCACAACTAGATTACCCCCCCCCCACACACACACACGCCATTGTGTGTGTGTGTGGGGGGGGGCGCCGGTGCCTGCGTGAATAGCACGCTAGACACGTAATCCGGTGGCCCGGGTTCGATTCCCGGCGCCGGCGAGAAACAAAAATGGGCAGAGTTTCTTTCACCTCGATGCCCCTGTTACCTAGCATATAGGTACCTGGGAGTTAGATAGCTGTTACGGGCTGCTTCCTTGGTGTGTGAGTGTGTGTGTGGAAAAAAAATTGTACTTAGTAACAGTTGATTGATTGACAGCTGAGAGGCAGGCCGAAAGAGCAGAGCTCAACCCCCGCAAGCACAACTAGGTGAATACAGATAGCTGAATACACACACATGTAAGACCAATCCTGGAGTATGAGGCCCCAGCATGAAGCCCGTATCTTGTCACGCACAAGACAAAGCTTGAAAAAGTTCAGAGGTATGCCACTAGACTAGTCCCAGAACTAAGAGGCATGAGTTACGAGGACAGGATGCGGGAAATGTAACTCACGATAATGGAAGACAGAAGAGTAAGGGTAGACATGATCACCACCTACAAAATTCTCAAAGGAATTGACAGGGTAGATAAAGATAAACTGTTTAACACGGGTGGTACGCGAACATGAGAACACAGGTGGAAACTGAGTACCTAAATGAGCCACTGGGACGTTAGAAAGAACTTTTTCAGTGTTAGAGTAGTTAACAGGTGGAATGCATTAGGCAGTGATGTGGTGGAGGCTGACTCCATACACAGTTTAAAATGTAGATATGAAAGAGCCCAATAGGCTCATGAACCTGTACACTAGTTGATCGACAATTGAGAGGCGGGACCACAGAGCTAAAGTTAAATTCCCGAAAGCACAACTAGGCGAGTACAGACACAGACACACACACACACACACACACACACACACACACACACACACACACACACACACACACACACACACACACACACACACACACACACACACACACACTCTCACACACACACACACACACACACACACACACACACACACACACACACACACACACACACACACACACACACACACACACACACACACACACACTCTCTCACACACACACACACACACACACACACACACACACACACACACACACACACACACATGCCCCAAGCCACTTGGGGCGCCAGTGGCTGTGTGGACAGTATGTTGGACACGTAATCCTGTGGCCCTTGGTTCGATTCCCGGCGCCGGCGAGAAAACAAAATGGGCAGAGTTTCTTTCACCCTGATGCACCTGTTACCTAGCAGTAAATAGGTACCTAGGAGTTAGACAGCTGATACGAGCCGATAACTGTGTGTGTGTGTGTATGTGTGTGTGTACTCACCTACTCACCTAATTGTGCTTGCGGGGGTTGAGCTTTGGCTCTTTGGTCCCGCCTCTCAACTGTCAATCAACTGTGTGTGTGTGTGTGTGTGTGTGTGTGTGTGTGTGTGTGTGTGTGTGTGTGTGTGTGTGTGTGTGTGTGTGTGTGTGTGTGTGTGTATGAGTGTGTGTGTGTGTGTGTGTGTGTGTGTGTGTGTGTGTGTGTGTGTGTGTGTGTGTGTGTGTGTGTGTGTGTGTGTGTGTGTGTGTGTGTGTGAAAAATTAGTAGTTAGTAACAGTTAATTGACAGTTGAGAGGCGGGCCGAAAGAGCAGAGCTCAACCCCCGCAAACATAACTGGGTGAACCTAGGTGAATACACACACGTGCACACACACGCGCGCGCCATGAGCCTCGCAGTTGAGTGGATAGCGCTCTGGGGGTCGTAGTCGTAAGAGCCCGGTTCGATTCCCGGCAGAGACAGAAACAAATAGGAAGTTTCTTTCGCTCTGATGCACCTATTCACCTAGCAGTAAATAGGCACCTGGGAGTTAGACAGCTGCTACGGGATGCTTTCTGGGGATGTGTGTCCTTGTGTTAGAGTGAAATACATGTAGGAGACATAAATAGAGGAAAAATAAATTGGTTAAAAAGGCGGGGGGGTCCAAAAGCTAATAGCTCGATTCTGCAGATACAAATAGTTAATACACACACACACATACACTAAACAATTAGGCTGCATGAGCACCAGAGCGAGCTTCAGGAATTATCAATGTAGTTGATTCTTTTCATGTAAATCACCTGCAGTACCAAGTACTGCAGGTGAGTTGTTGGAGGGTGCACACTGAATGAACTGCCAGGTGTCGAACAAGACAAAAGGCCTGGGAGTAGTCTGGCGCCACGCCAGTACTCCCAGGCACATACACGCAACACATATAACATCAACAGCATATGTTACTTAGGCCAACATAAGGACCGTCGCCAGTAGACTAAACCCATCCAAGTTCGACGTGATGTGAGACATTAGTTATCAAGTATGAGGCTCCAGCGTGGAACCCTAAAGCCTGATCAAATGTAAAGATTCTCAAGGAGGTCAGTGGGTTATGACAAGGTCACACAGACTTACATGGACTGCCATGGTGTGAGGCGCTGTTAAAGACGCGGCTGCATGCAGGGTCTGGTCACGCGCAGCAGTGGTCAGGAAGTATTGGTGATGGTCACAGGTCCTCCCGCTCCCTTCTGTTCCACCTACTGGCTGCCACGCCACATGGCCCCCTCCGGCTTCACCGTCTGCGCGCTCACCTGCGCATAAAACCGCTTACCTGACCCGGTGCTCGGTCAGCGGCGCACCTGCGCACACAGACCATTACAGACGGAACAGATCGAGAGAAAAGGTAAAGAAATACCTGCTTGATACCTGTTTGAGGGAGTTCTGGGAGCTGGTTGATACCTGGTTGAGCTCTTCTTCTCTCCAAGCCCGGCCCGAGGCCAGGCTTGACTTAGAGTTTGGTCCACCGGGCTGTTACTTGGAGCGGCCCGTAGGCACACATACCCACCACAGCCCGATTGGTCCGGAACTTCTTTAAGAAAACAGACTAGTTTTCTCTTGAAGATGTCCACGGTTTTTCCGGCAATATTTCTTATAGTCGCTGGGAGGAGGTTGAACAACCGCGGATCTCTGATATTTATACAGTGTTCAGTGATTGTGCCTAAGGCACCTCTGCTCTTCACTGGTTCTATTCTGCATTTTCTTCCATATCGTTCACTCCAGTACGTTGTTATTTTACTGTGTAGATTAGGGACCTGGCCTTCAAGTATTTTCCATGTGTATATTATTTGGTATCTCTCTCGTCTCCTTTCTAGTGAGTGCATTTGGAGAGCTTTGAGACGATCCTAATAATTTAGGTGCTTTATCGCGTCTATGTGTGTGCCGTATATGTTCTCTGTATTCCCTCTATTTTAGCAATCTCTCCTGTTCTGAAGGGGGAAGTGAGTACTGAGCAGTTCTCACCAGGACCAGAAAATAGAGCAGAATATGTGGTGAATGAGGAAAGTCATTAACATGATATTACGAGGACTGAAGACCCTCTGAGGCGTCAAGCCTTTTAACGCACACAGCTCTCCACGTTGACAATTTGGCAATTACAACTTGAACTTCAAAATAGAGCTCATCTGCCCGACTTCCTCTCTTGTTGAATCACACTTGCTCAGCGCCCTCACACTGATTACTTCATGCAACACACATGCACAGCACCCTCACACTAATTATTTCATGCATCACACTTGCTCAGCGCCCTCACACTAATTATTTCGTGCATCACACATGCAAAGTACCCTCATACTAATTACTTCGTGCATCACACATGCACGGCATCCTCACGCTGATTACTTCATGCATCACACTTGCTCAGCGCCCTCACACTACTTACTTCATGCATCACACACGCTCAGCACCCTCACACTAATTCGTGCATCACCCATGCTCAGCACCCTCACACTAATTATTTCGTGCATCACACATGACCGGGGTAAGGAGGCCTAATACGTGACTGGACAGCGCTCTGGACTCTTAAGGTCTGGGTTCGATGCCACGTGATAGCAGAAACAAAAGGGGCAGAGTTTCTTTCACCATGATGCCCCCTGGTACCTAGCATATAGGTACCTGGGAGTTAGACAGCTGTTATAACCTGCTTTCTGGTGATGTGTGTGTGGGGATGCTCAGCACCAACATGCTCAGCACCCACATGCTCAGCAACATGTTCAGTACCCCTCACACAAATTACTTCGAGCATCAAACATGCCCAACACCTTCACACTAATTACTTCGTATATCACACATGCTCAGCACCCTCACACTAATTACTTCGTATATCACAAATGCTCATCACACTCACACTAATTACTTCCTATATTACACGTGCTCATCACCCTCACACTAATTACTTAGTGCATCATAAATGCTAGTCACCTCACCATAATTACTTCGTTTATCACACATGCTCAGCACCCTCACACTAATTTCTTCGCGCATCACACATTCTGAGCACCCACACAATGACAACTTCGTGCATCACACATGCTCAGCACGCTCACACTGATTACGTGGTGCATCACACATGCTCAGCACCCTCACAATGATTACTTGGTGCATCACAAATGCTCAACACCTCACACTGATTACTTTTTTCATCACACATGCTCAGCACCCTCACAGTAACAACTTCGGGCATCACACATGCTCAGCACACTCATACTGATAACCTCGTGTATCTCACATGCTCACCACCCTCACACTAATACGTGCTGTGGGAACCGACCTGTGAGATTTATATTTATTTAATTTATATGAATTTATATTTACGTTAATTTATATACTTCGATAGCAATTTGTATAATGATAAGTGGACTGTATTTCTGCAATAATCTCATAATCTCACAAATCGATCCTCTACACATTAGGGGGGGTTATTATATTAATATATATGCAGCCAATCAAACTACTGTAATAGCTACATACATTGATGAGGTTCCTTCTCTTATAGTACAGTAGGTTAGTCCACCAGGTATAACTAGAGTGTAGACACCAAATTATCCTCTTTGAGGTAGCTTCTATCACCCAGTAACTGGTGTACATAATCTTGCATCCTCGTCTTGACCTGTCAAAAGTGCGCTAGCTGTGAAGCCAGAATCCTATATATGACAAGTATATCAGAGAAAACAGTACATGGAACATGAGGACCTGGCTTAATTACCTTTAGTTTGAGGCTTCCATGTGATCTAACCGGATAACCCTACCCAATGACATTAATGGCCACTAATGATAGATAATGGGTTTCGGATAGACACTTAACTTGAATTTGTAGACAGCGTGTTGATAATGGTACACTTTTAGTTTCCATAACACTACGTCCAAGTAAATTTAACAGGAGCCGAATTTGCTCCCGTGTGAGCCTCTGGTCTAGTATAAACAACAATGGCTGCCCTCCTTCCTCCACTCTGACGCCTGGCTTACATTGTCCAGATTTCAGAACGTGATAGAAGGGTCACATTTACTCTACTTTAATATTAATAATTAAGTTAATTTATATAAGATGTTTTTATGATGGTAAAGTCCAAAGACTAATGTATTTAAGAATAATTCCCAGCAGAATAGCTGGTGAATTATAATAGTATGTGGTGATGATATCCCGTTTTCTATAGACGGTAATTCCACTACAAGTTACGTTTTCTATGGGTAACTTGTTGGTAATACAGCTATTATCTGTATGATATATTAAATGGTGTCGGATTTTCCGACATAATTCCCCAGGGGGCTGCTCACGGGTCGAAGTCCTATTTAGAACAGACGAACACCGATACTCCTCCTTCGGATTATTAGATTAATTTGATGTTAGTAGTTAGTAATCACACATTTGTGTGTCTGTTCGTACAGGACGGATGTCCCGTACTAGAGTTGTAGGGGTTAGAAGTCTAATGCGATTTCATTTCCCTGTCAACTCTTGAAAGGCTAATATTCAAGCCTTATTACATATTATTTAACCCAGAAGACTGGATGTGATCAAGTACTACAGTCAAGTATGATTCAGGGACTGCAGTGAGATCAGTGACATTAGATATAACTTGAAGTTTCTTCAGGTAACTGGTCACTGATATATAAACACTGAGGCCCATGGAATACATCTTGATTAAATAATAAATGTATCAAATCAGTCATCAAATTTATTGGGGTTTAATTTAGTTAATTGATTCAGAAGATTGAATAGCTCATCATTAAAGTAAAGTATGGTTCTGAGACTGCAGTGGGTTCAGTGACATTGGTCGCAGTGACTTGTAGCTGTTTTAGGCTACTGTTCACTGACTTGCCACTGAGGCCTCATGAACTCATCTTCAGCTTCAAATGATGATACTAACATCAACCTCTGTTGGTATAGTCAGCTGTAATCTCCTTAGTATAATGCTACTGGAGAAATATAATCAGCTGACAAATTTAGTTTCTATTAGTATTGTTTATCTGCAGGCATAGGTCTCCTCAGGCTTGATACTGGGCCTGAGAGTAATTTACCTCCTGCAGAGTTTAACATGGTTATACCCTGATATTTAGTAGGGCTACCGATGAATCGATGGCAATAGTCTGTCCCAACAAGGAGACCGAAGTCAGTGAGGTGATCAGACTTAATATTATCTGCCAATTTTATTCCTCTATTTCTCAGGAATTTGGCTGTTGCTCTCAGACCTTGAACTTGTAGGTCTACTGGTATTTTGTCCACCACAATGGCTTGTACTCGACAGACGTACCTGCCTAAGTGTACTGATGGTTGTACCACCTGGTAGACTTGAGGTCCTGCATCTGTTACAAACCCTGAGATGTTGAATGACATCTGGGCTACAGGCCTTAATTGTAGTTCATCTGCCAACTTTTTAGTGATATATGTTCTCTGGGATCCTTGGTCAAACAACCCACGGGTATGGACCTTGGCCCTCTTATTCAGGATGGTAATTTGGGCAGTAGGCAAAGTCGTATTACCTTTAGACTTTGCCGATTGGACACTCTTTGTTTGTTGCACCTTGCAGTACTGTACTGTGGTGGGAATACTATCTTCCACCTTGGGGTTTGAAGACGTTGTTTTGGTGTCTCTGCACAATGCTGCATGGTGCTGACCTTTGTTACACCTATTACAGGTGTGTAATTGGGTATCACAATCCTTGATGTTATGTTTCCTGAGGCACCTCGTGCAATGTTGCAAATCTTTGAGTCGCTCAACACGGGCGTCACTATCAGGAAAATTAGAGCAGTGGTACATTGAATGTTTCTCATTGCAGAACAAACATGTTCCATAGCTTCCAGTACCCTTTGGTGTCACGTTCTTGGATGACACAGTAACTATAGGCTTGGAGGGTCCCACTGCATATACGCCCACACTGCCACTGTTCCACTTTGGTGTTGAATTATATTGTCTAGATTGATTTGGAGTACCTTTGGTACTCTGTGGTTTACTATTATTGGTTTCTGAGGGTTTACTTGGTGGTTTTAATTTGTCATGTGTTCGTAATTGATGAACTACTGACTTTAAACCTTCAGATATTTCATTCATGGATAAGATACTTTTATTGTAATGAGCACTCATTTGTCTCAATATGTCCCTAGGTATTTTCTCCTGGACAATTATTTTCAAGACCCACTCAGCCCCGTTTGTATCTGCTGTCAGGCTGAGGGCATTGATCAATGATTCT